TTGGAATAATTAAAATTTTATTTATTTATCTAGATTTATAAAGTGTTTCAATGGAGTGATGTTTTTTAAAATAAAATAAAAAAAATGTCTTGGAGCGGAGGATCTCTACATAGATTTGAAAAGAAATGAACGTCCGAGCAATCTTTGAAAACAGGCAGGATAGACTTCGGTCTTAGATCATGAAAAATAGGCTTGTTAAACCGGTTGAACAAGTAAATTTTAAATTTTCTTTTAAAATTAAATTGCGTTAGTTATTATGAGATATTTCAGTTAATTTGACTACTTTAATGGAACTCAAATAATGATTTGAAAAAAAAATATTATTTAGTTTTAAAAATAACTCAATAACTTTTTTTTTAATATTAAAATAAAAATATAAATATTATTTAGTTTAAAAAATAACTCAATAACTTTTTTTTAATATTAAAATAAAAATATACTTAATTCACTCGAGTTTGAGTTTAATTTGTCAAGCCTATAATTCCAATTATTAACTCCATTAAATTTAAAAAATATTTTTTATTTAATTATATAATAACAAAAATCAATATTCATAAAATCAAACACTTTCTAAATTTTAAAATATTTATTTAAAACTATAATAACCTTATAACAAAAATAATTTATAAAAACATTTAAAATCAAGTAAATATTAAAAAATAAAATAATAAAAAAATAAAAGAATAAAATGAGTAAGCATCCCATTATAAAATTTAATTATATTAAGAGGATGATTAAAATTATGATAAGAATTGTAGTTTAAAATATTTTTAACTCAAAAATATATTAAAATAATATTTTTTTAATTCTTTTTGACATCAGCATATAAAACCTAATACCTCGAAACATAAAAAATTAATTTTTAATAATTTTTTTATTTTAAATTTTTAGAAAACATGGATTCAAAACCATCGTGATTTCTTTTGAATAGAACTGCCTAGCTAGCTTATGTTTTTCGAAATACCAGACATTTCCTAACAGTCTTGAACCTTTACTTCAGCAAAGATCCTTGCCTAGTGAAATTCTGGACCCTAGATCAAATCGTCAGTAATCAACATAAAGACTTGCTACATTGACAATTATATTGTTGTCCCGATAAATGGATAAACAAGGGAAAAAATTCTCAAATTTTATTTCAGATTTAATTGAGGGTTAGCTCTGACCTGCAATCTGTAGATGTTCTGATAGCACACAGCGGCAGATTTACAGGCGGGAGTCGTATAATCAGGTCCAAGTGTTCCTCGAGTTCTTCACTTCTACGTTGAAACAAACAAACAAGGATACTCTGGAAGCCTAGGCTTGAAAAAGAAGAAAAAAGAGGAAGTTTTGGCTTCCCAACTTGTACCCAAATCCACAGGTGTATACCAAATCTAATATTCGTTGAGTTGCTGCCACCGATCTGATATTGCAAGGACGACTACAATTTCTGGTAACAACATGAGGATGCAACTGTATGCAAGCCTTTAGAAAGTAAATGAAACATATTTTTGGTAAACTATTGGCACGCTTAAATTAAACGTGGGATTCGCAGAAATTAAATATGGCATTTTATTGAATAAACAAACCCCAGTATACATGCTGTGTTACAAGATACTTTTGGGGTCACCATGAAAAGGGGCTTGCTCCCAGCAAAAATATCTCATTTTCAACGTCTTTCACCCATTGACAGACCCTGTTGCAAGTCTTTATTGCCAAACCCTGCAAATTCAACACAGTTAAAAAGTCAGCATTGCATCTAGATTGTGCCAAAAATATACCAAGAAGGACCATGCAATCCATTTGCAGAGTTATTTTAAGAGGAGCGGCAAACAGAACGATCTAGTCTGATCAAATGCAAAGGCAACATAATTAAGATAAAGTATTTTAAATATTTTAAATGAAACAAGAATATAATAATGAAAAAAATGAGAATACACGAGATCAATTTGGAATTTGGAGAACAGGTCACCCTCCAAATTACGAGGACATCAAAACAATAATGAGCTTGGCCTTCAGCCCTTCACAATTAATGATCCCGGAAGCTTATCTGGTGTGACGAAGAAATATCTTGTTTGATAGTAGATTATAATTTATAGAGTCCAATGAGCTAGCCAAAGTGATATGGTTGCACAGGCCTAAGGATTCTTGTCTCAAGGTCAGTTGTCTACAGTTTTTAGAATACAAAGGAAGAACTTAAACATGCATGAGAAAATGTCAAACCTTGTCTGCAAGTGGATCAAATGTCGCATAAAGCTCAAAATCTGGGGTGACCCAACAGAGGAGAACTGTCACACAAGGTAGATACAATTTCACCATGAAGTAATTTAAACTAGTGCTAAAAATTGAGCCATTGAAACAAACATCAAGGAACATGATTAGGGTAGAATTTCAAACAGCAAAAAATGAGGCTTGTTGAACAAAATATCAATCATCAATCAGAACAATAAAAATGACCTTTGCAAGATATTTAGCATGGTTATTCAAATTCTAAGTTATATGCACTGAAATAAATTGCCTGATCCATAAATCTACTGCCACCATCACCTTGAAGGAATATTATATATATGCAAAATGGATATTTAAAAAGCACGTCTAACAAGACAAGAAAACACTTTCTTCATTTGTGCTTACTATATATAAATGCATGCTAATGGATCTTCCATAATTTCATAAACTATGGAGCATATAAATACACGCATTGCTATATTTTGTACTTTGTGTATGTGACAATTTTTTTATTTTAAAAACATAACATAAATAAAACATAGTTTACCATAATTCTCATCTCTTCTAAACTGTGTTTTGTGGGCCCCGTTGCCTTTATCATGCATCGAAGCGTAAAGTTTCTGGTAAGCCCTGTACAATCTGCAAATGAGGATTTTAGTTTTGAACTGATAGCAGATGGCCAGAACATGGTCAACCATGGAGGGCATTTGAAATTTCTTTCAACAAAAAGACCCGAAGATTCAGCAGCTTTACCTTTTCTTCTGTTGTGGACTATTAATTGGTGCTGAAAACTCAGAAGATATATATTGCTCCAGATAGATACTACGATATATGAAATGCCAAAGTCCAGCGGGACCACCAATCCCAGCAAATGGTTCCCTAAATCTCCGAGGAGAATCGGTCAGTTCCTGATGCTCTCCAAAATGAGAAGTAGATCCAGGACGAGACAAAGGATCAGCAGGCAAATCCTCAACATGCATCCCACCATCCAGCATGGATCTCTGAACTTCACTAAGGACATTTGACTTCAAAAGAACCATTTCAATGCGAATCCTATTAAAAATGTCAAAATTTTTAATACAAATAGAATGAGAACACAACTAAACAAACCACTCACTCCATGATAACTAAGATTTAATTTCATTAAAAGCATATTGTGTAATAAAACCAACTCCTACCACTCTTATTGCATGCTGAAAATCAGGTAGAAACAGTGAAGTAATTTCGAAATCTAAAACACCTTCATGCCCCTTAAAATAATTTCCTAACAGTGTTCAAAATATTAAAGTAGCGAGAAGTGAAATTTTACTGATCTCAATGTCATTTCAACAATAAGCAAAGTGATGAAATAGTAATGACTTTACTTGACATCAGCGGGATTATTTGTTTCCTTATTTTTAACACTGTAACTGCTCACTTGCAATGGGCATTTCAACTTTGCATTAACAATAAAATCTAAGCCATGATTAATTTAATTAATTGGGGTTTAGTATAAGAAAATCCTGCACATGTAAATTATGGTGAAAATATACAATAAAGATTCAGTCATTGGGAGACAATAAGATGTAGCTCTAGTTATCACTTAAGTTGATGCCTTGGGAATTTATTGAATAATGCATAAGTTTGATTTTTTTGTCCAAAAGAAAGTTACATTTGAGGCTATTATTATATATCACATGGATTTCGATCATGTGGGAAAAAAAGTAGTTAGTACACCAAAAGACCTCTTTACTTGTTCTAAAAGTCTCTTTCAGAGAGAAACAACTTGTCATTTTTCTCCTCTCTCAGCAATTCTCATGACTCATACCTAAATAAGCTCAATTTCCCTCCACTTATCTCAATCCAAAATATACAAATCATAGAGTAAATTGCTTACCTGCAATCCTTAAGATGATAAAAGGCATCTGAACTAGTGGTAAGCAACATCAAGTATGTGTCAACCTGCAACAAGATTAAGGTCATGCCAATTTCTATCAACTCTGATGACAATTAGAAGTACAAACACATCATTTAATGTGGATGAAAAAATTGTGCATATCGATTGTCTCCTACAATCACTGTCCAGAAAAACAGGAGTATGAAATTGAATGCGCTCAAGAAGAAATGCAGTGAAACCAAATTTCTCTCACATCAAGATAATGAACATAAGCATACAAAAATGCCATTGGGTTATATCTTGGCAGGCAAATTGGCGAGAAAGATTCAGATGTCCTGCATAAAGTTAAAAGAACATGTCAGCCAGAGTCTCAAGAAATAACTTGTAAGTGCCAACCAAGTAAAGATAGAAATAACAAGCACTAATGAGAGATAACTTTTTCTGTTTTTAATTATTGTGACCCATGCATTTTCTATTGGAAGAACTTGGAAGTGCCATCCAGAGGTTAGGATAGAAATAACAAGTACTAGTGAGAAAGGACTTGGAAATGCCATCTCTTGGAAGCTCACTGACCTCTTTGAGCTCAAATATGGCATTGCTGATTTCAGAGCAATTGAAAAACCCATAAAGAGATGAGATTCAATTGTTACAAAAAGAGGTACTAGCCTATCGAAAATTCCAAAGAGTCATTTTGCACCATCAAAATGCCCATAGCAGGTTCTTAACAAGAGACTAAAAGATTTCTCAACACGTGAAACGAATGGGATAACAGAAGTCTAATGAAAGTCCATTTTACTTGCCTAAATGATTCTGAAGACATTATGAAGTTGGAAAGTAGCAGCATGTCATCAGGATGAAGCGAAGCTTTTTGAGCACCAACAAGACTAACAACCTGAAATCAAGCCTCAAGTAATAAAGTGCTAAAGCAACTAAAGGAAATTCAAACGAGAAAATAAACGCAGTTTTTAAGAGATAGATGTTTCTTAAAGCCAAAAAAGAGGAAAAACAAGAAGAATGAGGGAAAGAGCAGGTATTTACTTTGTGTTTGCACATTAATATTGCAAAGAGAACACCAGAATCAGCAACATCATGCAGTATAGCACCTGCAGCTTGCCTCGTTCCATAAGCAAGGGGAAGACAAGTGTATGCATGGAGAAATGTTGCTGGATTCCTGAAAAGAAAGAAGCAAGAATTCCAGCACCATCCAATTTAAAATAGGGGTACAAAGACATGCACATTGCATCTTATTTCAGGACAAGAGGAAATGAAAACACCAGTTAAATAATTCAATAAAAACAAACAGGAAAATGGCAGACAATTACATTCTTGTAAAGAGGGAGAAAATGAAAATAAGTATTTCAACTCACCGATTGTCAATGACAAGGAAAAATAATGGGGAGCAGAACCTCTATCATAGTTCAAGAACCTAGCAATATTGTCTACCTAAAATAGATAGGATAGTTCAACGAATACCACTGCTTTGCTGGTTACCAGAGATGGCAACAGAAACATATGAACATCCACCCAAACTGACCTGAAAGGGCGGGTTTTAGTTTTTTGGATAGTTACTTGCCAATCCAGACAGTTGGCCACCAAATATTTTTGCTTGTTCCTTAATAATTAATACATATTAGAATTTGTCAGCATTGTCTATAAAAGAACAGAACAAGTACAAATCGTAACTTCTGAGTACAAGTTCTTTAAACTTTTTATTATAAAGGTTATTTTGGTAGGTATTGTAAGAAGTTTTTTATAAGAATAATATTTAGCCTTAATCACATTTCTTGTATTACAAAGTATACAAGAATGATATCCAGTTCTGTCACATTGTTCCTACACAATCTACAACAACATGTCTTTTCTTTTGGGTATGGGGATTAAAGCAGAAAGGTCTTAATTAATAAATCTGTATCCATGAGATCCACTGTTTTGCTTCAGCAATTTAAAGACTCACACAAAATCAACAAAGCAAGCAGCAAAAAAAGAGCAAAAGAAGCCATGAGAAAAGGGAGCAGAGAACAAACCAACTAAATGAATGGATGAGAGATGAGAAGACAACATCCGTTCCTCCAAGCAATGGAGTCATATCAAACTTCGGATTTTTCTCGAAACATCTATTAACCGACTTTGTTAAAATGAGTATCATCTGCATCATTTAGACAAAAAAACATGTGAAAATATGAAGATCAGAAGAGGAATTTTTGATCCATTTCAAAAAATGTAAGGAAATAATTAGAAAGTCAGCACATAGAAAGGCGGAGTAGGGGCATTAATGCTACCTGACCATAAATAAGCTCCAATTCCCCCTTCAATGATTCATATGGCTGTTCCGTGCAGCTGATGCACACCAAGTAAATTGGCCCTTTTACAAGAAAAACCACCTGAACCCAAAAGAAAACATTCGGAGTTCACAAATTGGTAGATATTAAGTAGATTTATCTCATGCTCCTACTAAGAAATCCCACTCCAACAAGATAGAAGTAACAGACTTGGTTTGTTTGAGGTAGATGCTCTTCGGTCTTTCACCGACCAGAGAGCTTCGAGAAGATGCTTCCACAAAACACATGCACGATTGAGGAAATTGCTATGAAAACTTTGGAGTAGCATGTTAACTTGGAGCTATTTAAAAACATCTCCAAAAAATAAGAGGATATTCTTTTACTTTTTAATTATTGAAAAAAAAAAGAGCTTGGGCAAATTAAATCAGCAGGAGGACGAAAAAAGGTTCTATTTTCAATCCAGGTCCCAGAGAACAAAGGATTGATTAGACAAAGAAGAAGAGGATCAATTTTTTGATGGCCACGTGCTAAAATATGAACAGACCTGGTGCTTTCCTGCCCTAACCAATTTGACACGATCTCCCCTGAAAAGCAAATAATGAATGAATCTATTGTAAGTCCTCAAAAGAATGCACTTTAGAGTAGTAGGAATTCAAAGGATGGTCATTGAAGAAAATGAGAGTTCACAGGTTCATCCAGTACCCATTCTCCACAAATGAAATTATGGCCTGCAGTGTTGCTGAAAATCCTGCTAGCTTGTGTTCATCTCCATATCTGGAAGTTAATAAAAGAATTTGAGCAGAAAGCTAAAACACTGAAACAAAAGGTGATAGATTACACTATGTTTGCATCAGTATGAATAAGAAATAGATGCACCAAACCTGGAATATATTGGTTTTCCAGAGTGACTCAATATAAAAAAATGCTTCTTCCTTTTTCTCCATGATATGGAAGCATCATCCTGCACTTCATTTATTAATCAAACAGGGTGTAATATTGCAGGAGTCCTCTTTTCGTCATGTACAAACAGTAGGTAAAAATGATAAACATACACAATTGAAATGAAATTTCAGATATATGCTTAACCATTGAAAGATGCAAATATCATTCACTAGTAATTGACAATCAGGACTTAAACAATGCAAAATACATACATGTGTCCTTAAAGGCTCCTGTTATCTACTTTCTTTCTTTCTTTCTATCTTCTGCTTTTCTTGTGATAAGTGCTTTTGCTTTCTTTCCTTTGACCAATCTTTTGACTATTTGTGCGTGTTGTGATACTAAAATAATTTCTCCTCAATTTGAAAAATAAATTACCACATTAACACAATGTACAAGACGAGCTTTTCGCAAGACTCTGATATGGCTAAAACAATATTGGATCTTCAATTTGAAGATGAAAAGATAGGCAAATGCATGTGCAACTGGGTACAGGGAGGAGATGGTGTCAAATCCCTATCCTGAAGCTCTGTGGGTGCAGTCAGGATTGTCCTGAAGCTTAGTTTCCAATCATTTGTCCATTCCAAAACTGAGAACTGTCTCCCCTCGGTGATCACAATAGAAGGCACTAGATCAAAATTATTGAGGGACTGGCTTATAATTATGGTTTGTTTTGCCCCTTTCCTTTTCATGTTAACTGTGCAAATAACACCACACAAACATGAAAATGTTCTTAACATTGCAGGATAACAGGAATTTTTTACCTATTCCAAACTTTTCTAATAAACTTTCCAGCACAAAAATCAGCACTTTTTGGATTGCTTGATTTAGAATTCTCTAGATGAAACATGCTATTAATCAAGTCAGCAAGCCTATGTGAGGGAAATGGCTGTCACATATTTTGCACATTGACCTTTAGACAATCTGTTTGGCATCCCTCAATTAGTCTGTGAAATTCTGTGGATTCTTGGTTGATGTTCTATTGCTTGTTTGATGAGAACCTTCTCCCACTATATTAAAACACAAGATAATCCTCAAATTTAAGTTGCATGGTTCCAAAGGCACGTGTTTTAAAGAAAATTATTGCTTGACAAACCCTGTCAAGTTTGGCAAACATCTAAGCATAACTACTCTGCCCTTTTTTTTTTTTTCATTAATAAACTAACAAAAGCATATACTTTTAAGCATCATTAATAAAATCTTCTGATACCTAAGAAAATTTTAAGCAAAACTAACAAAAGCATATACTTTTAAGCAGAACTATTCTTTACAATAATGACTTCTAAAGAATCCAGCAGCAAAACTGATTTTTGGTCTACATGTCAAAATCAAAACTTATAAACCACGTACAATGCTCTCTCCCATAACTAGAAAGGTAAAAACTAAGAAAAGAAACAAAGAAAATATCACACCAGCACCATTCCCAGATAAATCTATCTAGAGGTATAAAAAAGCCCACCCCTAATGGAGATTAAAGATTTTCATCCACACAGGCCATGCAAGGAGGTCAAGAAACAAAGACCCAGAGTCTTAATTATGAGCTTCCTTTAACCACAATGCCAGTGCATTAATCAATTTTGCATAGAAACCTTGCTGCTCAGTATCAAAAACAGGAAATTTACAAAGCTAATTTCTCTCTGTTCAAAGTTTCACAAATCAAATTTCAGCATAGATATAGTAAATTCCACCAAGTTCAATCTATTAACAATCGGTAATCTAAAAAATTCATAATTAATCCATGCTTTTAATACAAAGAAAAATAAAGGTGAAAAACCAAAGAGTACCTCATCGACATGACGTTTGCCAGGCAACCAGGCAGCTTGTGAATCAAAAACCTCATGGAAAGCACTATCAATTGCAACCTCCTGTATCTCATCATCCTCACTGACGCCACTGCTCCCTCTCTCGCCGGCGTATCCACTACTGCTCGGGCTGGAAGGCCCGTTCACGTCCACTTCCACCTCCGAGTTCGTCCGCCTCCACACTACACTCCTGACGAGGCCAATTCTGTCATCTTGTTCGTGATTCTTACTGTTTACATTCAGCGATCCATTTAAAGAGGAGCCTTGATCTTGTTGTCTTCCTTCTTCGTCGTCGTCTTTTTGGATGATGGTGCTACCGGATCCTTGCTCAAGGTTTAGCGTTTCGAATTGGTAATCCAAAGGCTTGGGGTTAGGGTTGGGATCGTTAACGGAGGAGGAGTTGGAATCGGATGAGGACATATTTGGAATTTCGTAACTACGAGAGAGGAAGTGGAAGAAAGAGGGTTTTTTAGTTTTGTGTTTTTTGGGTCTCTGTTATATCTTTTCGGGTGTGTTGGCTGTTAGGTCTCTACCAGTCAGTTTTTTTTTTTTTTTTGTTGGGTTCCAGGTCTCTGCAATTAGGGGCGTCGTTGCCAATTGAGGGACAGAGAGACGAGGGTCTGACCAGTAGGTGGATTACTTGGATCCGACTTTACATGTGTCGGGCCTTCTCTGTCCTCTTGCGCATTGGAAAGTATTTTTAAAAAATATTAAATTTATTTTATTTTAAATTAATATATTTTTAAATTATTTTAATGTATTGATATTAAAAATAATTTTTAAAAAATAAAAAATATTATTTTATTATATTTTAAAATGAAAAACATTTTTAAAAAATGCTATCACATTTTTAAATATCCTTTTAACTTATAATAGCATGATTTTTTAAAGAGATAAAGAGAATGATATTATTAGATATTAAGAAATTAAATATGATTATTAATTCTAAATATTATTAATTTTATCCTTAATTATTGTTTAAATTATAAAATTCTTTTAATTAAGTCATTGATAGTACTAATTAGACTTACTAGAGTCTGAATTAGATTTCAATCTTGTAATTTTTATAGATTCATTTGAATTAAGCTTTTAAAATTAATTTTTTTCAATTAAAAACCTTAATAAAATTATTTTAATCTATTAAAAATTTAATTAAATCATTATACTTAACTAATTTTTTTAATTTTAATTTTAATTAATTTTTAAACTTAATCAAATCTTTAATTAAATCCATTATATAAAAATCATCTAATATTCAGTTAAGTTAACATTAGATTTGCATTGTATTTTATATTTAGGTAAAGGTGCAAGCAATTGAGTTTCCAATATTATTAAAAATCTAGTTTGATCCCTTCATCTCTTATTTATGCATTTAGATCCATCTTTAACTTGTTCTTGCCAACCATGTTGCTTATTCTCTTTTATTTTTTTACCAAGAAAATAATAATTTTGGAAATTTAAAATTGGGTTATAATAGCTACAATACTATTCTTTGTTCTTGAAAAACTAGTATTATAAGTTTATGAAGAATTAAATAAATTAAATACAGTTCCTAAAGAACTAATATTTTTAAAGAACTAAATAAATAGCAGTGTTAAAAGATTGATTTTTTTCCTTTGATTTTCATGATTTCATTTAATAACTTATTTTATTTTTCATAGAATCTAACAAAACTTGAATTCACCATTATTAATATCTTTTAGAATAATTATTTGTCATGGACTTTTTTATGTTGAGATTCATCTGGAAGCTATGAATCTTGGAGAGACCATAAAAAAAGAAATGGTGTATCCTTGCAGAATTACGGAAAACAATCATTTTCATTCACCATCATCTCTAAGAAGGATTAGAAGTTGAATATCTCACAATAAAATATCCTTTTGTTCTATGACAAAATATAAAGGAAAGATATGACTAGTAAAAATTTAATATACTTAATCTTATTATGATTGGTTGCACATGAGATTGCAAGATTTTAAATTGATAAGTGAATATAATTCTACTTTTTCAAAAACTTACCTTACAACTAAAATTATATGGTGAAAATATCAAATAAAACCAAACATTAGAGAAAACATTCTCTACTTTGTATGCCTTAAATATGGTCCTACAATAACAATATGATGGAAATAATCAAGAGGTACTAAAAACTAATTTCTTATCTTCTTGTAGCTTAAAAATAATAATGAGCTTTTGATGAAAAATCAACAATCTCATCCAACAAGTTCTAAACCAATCCCTAAAGTGAATGAAATCTTTGTTTAAAAATAAGAAAGAATCAAGGGTATAGATAAGAAAAAAAATAAATGGAAAAGAAAAGGATATAATCTTTTAAAAGGTAATTATCCATATGACACGATCAAAATATTAATATCTTCTCTTAAATGTAGGAGTGTTGAAGTAATAAATAACCCAACAAGACCGGAGTGAAATCACAAGAAGATTAACTATATAAATTATAAACAACAACAACAACAACGACAATAATTTAAAGAGGATTTTGAGATGTAAGATTAATGTGAAGATTAAACAATAAAAACAAATGTCAAAGTTAAAGGATCAACTAATGGTATTTCAAGAAAGTATAGTATACACTCTTTTTATTACTCAATTGGAAACCACACACAAAAGAGGTTCCAATCAGATTATAAATGGTTAACATGATTACGTTAATTATCTTATTTGAATAATGCTAACACTTGTAAATGTTGTAAAGTATTCAAGATTATAACTTATGTTAACAACAAATCAAGTTCTTTTCATAGCACATGTATAGGTTATACCATACGGTTGGACTATGAAAGTGCCAAGTATTTGTTGTACCAAGTGTTACACAATATAAATCTAGATTAACCATTTAACAAGCAAAGTATTAAGAGTGAACAAGATAATAAATACAAAACATGTTAGTATCAAACATTAAAGTTCATGTTGAGTTTACACTATATTTATTCTTACACCATTAGTATAACCTTTTTACCTTGACTAATAAACTTAGCTAAACATAATGATATAAGAGAAACATAAATAAACAAGATTAGAATATAAATAAGATATAAGTTAACTATGTAAAGGAAATATAATGAAAAATATAAACAAGAGATTAAGAAAAATATAACATGAAATAAAACTTAAACATTACAAAAATATAAAGAAAAAAGTAAGAACATGATCTAGAAACCAAAATGTCTATATGCATGTCAAATGCCTCCTTTTATAGGCCTTCGACACTCCTGCACTTGGGAGAAGACATCAACCTTTTAGTCGTGTCACTTGACTTAATGACAATACTTATCTTCTTGTCTGAACAAAATGTCATTGCTAACGCCAGAATTTGGACAAATTTGAATCAAGAAAGTTGTAGAAAATTGTCTTAGCTTTTTAACAAAAAAAATTGAGGTTATTTGTATTCTTAAAATTCAAAATATGGACTAACACACTTAATAGTATCCAGGCTCTGAGACATATTTGAACTTCTCTATTGTTGCTAAGATTTGAACTTCCAAAGAGCAGAATTGAGTCTTGCATTCCCATGAAAGTTTTAGGCCTATGTCTTAACTTTCTATCCATATAAACCAGACCTAAATCCAAGTTCTACAGCTCTAGTTATGATCCAATCATCGAACAATATTCTAGTTTAGACTAAACCAGCAGTTCTTTTCTAAGCTTCACCCTCTCTTTGTGTTTTCAATTTCAGTAGTTGAACTCATCAATCAATCCTTTGATTTATATGATAGACTTGTATGTAACATGAACATTTACCATAAATTAAAGGTATCTTATAGTATCAGACTTGTTATTATAAAACATGCTTTAGTTTAGGAGTTAGTGATATTTCAAGTGTAAAATAATGATATAAAACCTTGATGAAAATGCACTTTTAAGTACTAATCACCATATCACTAGAAATGAAGACACAGTGATCCTAAACAATAAAAGGGCTAGAATCTGTATAAACTTGAAGATAAGTGTCATGGGTGTGATATGTATTGTTATTAGTCACAAACTTGTTAACGCCAAAACATCTTACACATTTATATCTAACCTCTCTGAAATGAAATGTAGTTGAGATTAATTTCATTCATAAAAATAATTATGAAGATCATAATGTTTATCTTGATGTTTCTGATTTCTTTGAAAACCTAGATGAAACAGAAAATATGTTTGGTGGTGGAATCCTTAAGGATGATTAGTATTTTTTTATTTTGTATTATGTTATTTATTTTATTGTATTTTTCATAAATAATATCAATTTTCTTTTAGTTAAATAATAAATTTTAATTATATTTTGAATAGAGATATGACTTTTCACAAAGGAGATTTATGTTCAGGAGATAGTGCAAAACACATATAATTCTCAAGGAAAAGAAATACTTTGAATATTTGACATTAACCAAATCTAATGTCACTATAATATCAAGTTCAATAGACATGATTAAAGGCTCTAGAAGAGCTAATATTTTATTACC